TTTGCAGCCACCCAGGGAGCAGCGAGGTCTCGGCTGGATCTGCGTGTCCCCCGACTCCGCTGGACCTCCCAGGAGCCCACGGAAGTGGCGACAATTGCGCAGTTCGCAACCACCGGGGGACCAGCAAGGTCCCGGCTGGAGATGCCTGACACCCGACTCCGCTGGACCTCCCAGGGGCCCACGAACGTGGCGACGACACTTGCGCAGTTCGCAGCCAGCCAGGGAGCAGCGAGGACTCGGCTGGATCTGCGTGTCCCCCGACTCCGCTGGACCTCCCAGGAGCCCAAGAAAGTGGCGACACTTGCGCAGTTCGCAGCCCCTGAGAAAGCGCACGCGATGCCAGAGGCAGGAGGAGGGGGGGAAAGAAAGGGCGGGAGGTTGTTCTCTATAAATGTGAATATGTATGTGCATGTGCATGCGTATATCGATACATGCATATGTATAGACATGCATGTACACGTACTTGTACATGTAAATGTACATTACATGTATGTGTGTATGTATATTCGTGTGCAAGTGTAGGCGTATATGCCTATGAATGTATGAATGTATGTGTATATATATATATAAAAATGTAGATGTATATGAGTATGCACATGTTAATGTATGTGTGTACGTATAAAATCATGTGCAAATGTATATGTGTTTGTAAATTGTATGACTATGTGTATGCATGTGCATGTGAACGTGTATGTATATGTGTACGTATATGCATATGTGTATGTAAATGTATATGTATATGTATATGTACTGCGTACGTAAATATAAGGTTAAATGCAAATGTATAAACGTAGTGTGTGTGTACGTATAAACATATGTACATGTAGATGTACATGAATGTGTGTGAATGTATACGTGTATGTATGTGTATGTGTACAAATAAATGGAGATATAGCTGTATGTGTACATGCATATGTATAGGTATGTGTACATGTATGTGTATGCGTATATACACATGCATATGTATACACAAGTGTATACATACATGTTTATACATGTGCGTTTGTCTCTATGTATTTTTTTATATATATATATATATATATATATATATATATATGTGTGTGAATGTGTATGTGTACGTATGTTGATCCGTCAGTGCATGTGTCTATGAATATGCATATAGAAACCTATATATATATATATATATATATATATACATATATCTATGTTTGGCGGACTCCTGGGCGCCAGCCTTACAGATTCACAGCACTTTTGCTTCAGACCGACCATGCTGACAATCTGTGTGATTGCGGCCCAGAGCCGCTCGCATCTAGATGCCACAGCCTCGCAAAGGTTTCCACCGCGAGGCAATCACAACTCAGTGCAAGTGTAGAAAGGCTCTAACAGCAGGGTGGGACAAAGGGGACCGAGGGAGGGAAGCTTGAGCATTGATGCAACAACGGTCGCAACGGCGCCCTCTCATCCTGACTCGCAGAGAACACCAGGCACGCCAGAGCAATCTATGCTTGGCGGATTCCTGGGCGCCAGCCTTACAGATTCACAGCACTTTTGCTCCAGACCGACCATGCTGACAATCTGTGTGATTGCGGCCCAGAGCCGCTCGCATCTAGATGCCACAGCCTCGCAAAGGTTTCCACCGCGAGGCAATCACAACTCCGAACCAGAAAGCAAACACTGAAACTTTGCGAAACTCTCCCACTGGCCGTCAGGCCACATATCTAGTTAAAGCACAGAAAGCTTTATTCCGCAACGCTTGTTTGTAGGCTCTACTAAGCTCCACGCAGAGCCCTCTGGGATACGGCTCGGCGATGTGGGTGAGAAATCGCCCAGAACTGTCTTTTCCTTCAAGCACCCTATGCGGGCACTTCGAAAAACTGCAAACGCCGCGGCCTTGGCATCGGGCCCCTTTGAGCCCGGCAAGGTCGAGATGACAAAACCGAAGGCGGGTTCGTTTACGCCACGGGGTTCCGAAAGCGCAACAATCGACATCTAGATCGAGCACGTTACTGGAACGGGCGAGCGCTTGGGCCCCAGGGAGACTCCAAAGCCAAGAGGTCGAAGGATTCTCGATAACTACAGGGACTCTAAGGGATCTGCACAGGGAAAAGAGGCCAAAGCTGAAACGGGCTAGACGGTTACCACGGGCAACCTTCAGACAGTCGGCGGGATTCAGGTGAGGGAGTCCGAGGGGGTGCTCAGCGTCTCGAAGCGGCGGAGATCCATTAGGCCGATTACGAGCCCGCGACATTGACTGACACGGAGTAGCTATCCACACACCTAGGAGCATCTTGATTCGCACCCAGCCCCCGATCAACTTCTGAATTTTGCTAGACAAGACATCGGCAGCAGCGTCATGAATAATGTCCAATTCGAAGCAGGCGAGACCCTTCAGGACTAACCGAAACGATCGAGAGAGGTTGCCGCTTCCACTGAAAACTTCCAACATCACTTGCTGTCCAGATTCGTTCACAAATCGAGCTAGGTCGCGCAGAGGACGGCGCCAATCGCATCGAGGCTTCGCTTCGCGGTGCCCTGAATGTGGTGTGGGAGCATGTTCAACTTTTCTTGAATCCGTCCTCCCTTGGCGTACCGCCTCACGGCCTGATCTGTGGCCCATCGACCTCTCTTTTTCACCTCGTCTTGGGCGTGGGCCCGCGCCAGCAGCTCGTGGCTCGCTCCTCCGTGCCTGAGCTGGTAAAGGGTCAGCGGCAGCAACGGCTGAAGACCACTGTCCCTGGCCGCGGCGGCAAACTTGGCGTTCCACTCGCTGTGCGACACGGGAAAGAGAGGGCTGTTCCTGGGACGCACGCGCAGCAGCTTTTGGAATAGGCCTGGCAACCAAAGGAAGGCGGGGCTGTCTATCAGCAGCGAGTCGTCGTACACCCCAGTCTTGCTTGCCACCCCGCCTTCCCTCGGATGAAGCGTCACGCTCCAGGTCCCGCGCGGGCCCCCGCGCAGCACTGACGGCGGCACCAGGCTGTTGGTGGTCAGGGAGAGCGCCTCCGACGGCCTCAGGTACAGGGCGAAGGCCACGGCCGTGAGTTCTGCAAGCACTCGTTGTCCCGCCTGGACTAACTGGCGGATGACAAGGCAGCGGGCGGCCCACGGCAGCGGGAGCCTCGACCGAGGCGGAGCCAGCTTGCGCCATCCCCGAGCAGCTCGGGTCGCACGCGGCAGGCTGCTGCACTTCAAGCCCAGGTGGCGCCCCGCGAAGGCCAGCGACGCGAAGAGCTTCCACGCGTCCGTGCTCTCGCCCCCCTCCAAGAATTGCTCGTGGAAGTAGATCACCAGGGTCTCGTCCAGTTGCTCCTCGGTCACCGTCTCCAGGCGCGAGTGCTCGGCCCAGAGGTAAAAGCTGTGAGCTCGCCTCTCGTAATCCCGGCGGGCGGCGGCGGACACCGACTCCTGCTCCAGAAACGAGCGGCTCTCTCCGGGCTTCGGAACGATATCCCGGCTGTAGCCCTGGCGGCGCTGCAGGCGCCTGGCAGCTCGGCGGTCGCTCTCCACGCGAGCTCGGACAGCAAGGCTCGTCGTAGGGGCTGAGGCCCGGCGGCGGCGAGACGAAGCCACGGTCGCGCTGGTCCTCGGTCCTCCCCGACCTCTCGGCAAGCCGCCCGTCACCTGAGCAAGGGCTGCTGCGCCTGGCGTCCCCAGCGGCCGCTCGATCAGCTTCAGCTGTAAGGCCAGGCCGATTCCGCGAAGCTGAGTCAGCACTGTTGTGCTCAGAGGGCACCCAGCGCCAGACGACGCCACAGCCACTGCACAGCGCCAACGCTGCGACCTGACGGCATACTCGCTGAAGCGGCGCCGATGAGGACCGGCCCTTGAGCAAAGCCAGCAACGGGGCCATAGAGTCATTCAGGATGACATGAGTGTGTCTGAAGTTCCGAGAGCTCCGAAGAAGATGCTTTAGACAGCTGACCAGAGCCCTGCCCTCAAGGATGACCTGGGGCTCCTCGCGCCCCCAAGGCTTCGAGAGAACACGCTTCCAGACACCACCCCAGACCTCCTTCGAGACGCTCCTGAACTGGGCCTCTGGGGGCTTCGGGAAGACCTTGATGGGCTCCTCGAACAACAGGCCGTGCGAGGCCTTCAGGACATGGTAGGGCTCTGTGAACCCCGGGCTCGTCTTGGTCTCCTCGGTCTCATCCTCCCACATGCCGATGTCGAAAGCTCGGGGAGGCATCGACTTCTCGTTGTCTCGCCCAAACCTCCATCGCTCGTTGAAGGACGACAACTCGACGACCTGATCGCGCGCGAAATCCTTCTCAGTGATTCCAACCCCCCACCACGAGGCATCCACACAAGAAACCACCTTTGACAGAGGCCTGCCTGCGTTTCTGAAACATAGGACCAACAAGGACCTACACCACCGCAGTTCACGTCGAACGGATCCCCAAAGACGTAAAGACCTATGACCTGCTACGCGGATGAACGAGTACACGGCACTCAGAGCGCTCAGAAGTTCCCGCCTGATGAGGCCCCGAGAGGTGTAGTGCGATATGACCCTCCGGAGCGTGTCCCCAGTACAGCGGTCTTGCCTCAAGATCTCCTGGATGTCCAGACGTAACCTCCACCGTAAACGAGGATTCAACCCGATGACAGCATCATTCGAACCAAACTCCCAGCCCAAAGTCTGACCACCTACTCCCTCCTCGACCTCATGCGTAGGCAACCCGACTCGATTCAGTTCGCGGCCCACGGCCCTGGCGATGTCCCCAGCGCGCTCCATAGACCGTGACAGTGAGACAAAGTTGTCAACGTACTAAGTGTGTATGAAATCATTGCTCAAACTCGGGGCTGGTTTACGATCAAAAAGGAGGTTATGTGTACTGATGCCCGGGACTAGAGAACTGATGTGCTCATTCAAGGTCTGGCAGATCCAAAGGCTCACGCCCCAACCCATGGGCGGACATCGGAAACATGGAACCACCTTTTGCGAGGGATGCACAGGGGTACCCTCGCCAACGTGAGAGAGATTGAAGTCGCCTGCTCTGACGGGCGGGAGGCCGAAGTATTGTTGCAACCATGGAGGCAACAGGATGTTGTAGAAAGCATCGGCGATGTCCACGCCCGCCACTGCGATAGGGTCATCCCCGTCTACGGCGATCTGGCTGAAAGCACCGCCTGAGGCCAACTCAACCTTGTCGGCCTCGGCGAAGCGCAGTGACGAGTAGCGGCCATCTAAGATCATCCTCAGATCGCCATTTTTCTTGTGAACGAAAAAGAGCCCGACCGAGCACTCGCAGTCCAGCTGGAAACTCACCAGGTTAGAGTCCACCAGCCGTCGAAGCACTCGCTGATACAGCTTAGGGTTACGAAGGTTGGGATCAACGCATAGCCGACGTGGTCCCTCAGTAAGGATGCGGTCCAACCCCTGTTCTCGGGGCAGCAACAAATCTTGTAAACGATTGGCGATCTTCCGGCCCACATCACCAGCCAAATGCTCTAACGTCTGTGGAGAAGTCGCAGCCGCAGGCAGAGAAATGCGGTCGACGTTGTCGAAGCCAACCGGGGCGATGGCCACGGCCTCCCCGTGGTACGCCTGAGACACCCGAAGCTCCGCAAGGGCTCCTGGGCCGTCGAGGTCCAGCGGCGGCTCTCCGAAGCGGCGGACCGCATCTTCCAGCTCCCGGTGCACCTCGGCATGGACAGCAAGCAGCGGCTCACCAGCGGCACTACGCGGAAGGTCGCCATGTCCACTTCCACCCAGGTACATGTCGTTGAGAGTCACAACTATCTCATTCACCATGTCGAGCCTGTGGTGGCGGCGGTGCACCCGCCGAGCAGCTGTCCGAGAAAGGGCCTTCGTGTTCTGAAGCGCTGTGGAGGAAGAAGCAGGATCAGGGCGAAGAGGAATCGGGAAGACATCGCGCTGGCGACCATCCCGGCGAGAAGAATAGCGGCCCCCACGTACATCACTGACTCCAGGCGGGGGGGCTGAAGCCGCCCTCTGTTGCATCTCGGGCGGGTCGAGGGGCGTCCCGTCCGAGGTCACTCCTATTGCCCCGAGAGGGCGCGGCGCTCCTCACGCGCTTTGCGCAGCGACTTGAGGATGCCCGCGTCCCTCTCTACCACGGCGGACACGTGGTGTAGAAGGTCAGGACACACCATCATCCCCCCATCCTCCTTCGATGTCCCGGCGAAGGCGGAGGCCTCGTCTAAGAAAGCAAACTTGGCGAAGCCACGGCCACGACCGCGCCCCTTCTTGTTCTTGTCCTCCGATGCCTGAGGGGCCGCGTGTAGTGAACCCTCCGCCTCCATCGCGTACACGTACCCGTACAGCTGCGCCTGTCGCACGGCCACCTCGACGCCCACGAGGTCTGGAAGATTCACCTGATCCCAGCAGGCTAGGAACTCGATCATCCTCATGATGCTCTCGTAGTGGGCCACACCGTAGTCATCGTTCGTCAAGTGGTACTGACTCTTGAACTGCGTGAAGTGCTCCAGCGGGCCCCCGCGGCGTCGGTCAATGAAGACGAAGCACCACGCAGCCGAACGGGGGCCCTCCAACGGCCATCCTGGAAGCGGAGTCTGCTCGAACTTGGCGACAGCGTCCCGAAACTGAATCCGAGGGCGATGGCCGTCTGACTGCAGTGCGATCCCCAGGAGCCTGGCGTCAAGTCCAGCCTCAGCGCCAGCGTAGAGCGCCAGGCTGAGCGACACCCGTCGGATTCCGATCCAGCCCTTGTCGGTCCTCATGATCCCGACGTCGCCTCCGAGTCGCTCCGTCCCATTCAAGGCCACAACCGTTCCGCGGTCTCCCGCGGCGGTCGTCTCCGTCATCACCCACTCCGGAGCAGCAGGAGCCGCGAATGGACCTGGGCCCGCGACCGCCCCAGCGGCCGCCGCTGCCTGCCCAGGCGCTCCAGCACCCACGGGTTGAGCAGCGGCCGCACCGCCAGCAGCGACGCCAAGACCAGGTCCCCGCGCGGGCCCTACGCCCACCAGAGCGGCCGCACCTTCAGCGTTGCCTCCAGCAGCGCCACCGTCGGCACCGACCAGCTGCTGCCCAGCTCCCGCGCCGCGCAGCCCGAAGTCGAAAGCCCGCAGCGCGCCCCCAGCAGGCAACACAGCAGCGCGGCCTCCAGCGGTTTCCCGAGCCAGGTACGTCTCGTCGGCCACCTGAATCACCGCCGCCATGACTGCGGTCTCCTCATTCACAGTCAAGCGTCGCCTGAACCCGTACAGCAGCCCTGCATCCAGACCTCCGCGGTCACGACGACTGTCCACGAACCGAACGCCCAGAATGTCAGCGCTGTCCCTGCCATAATCTTCTTCATAGACATCGTGATCAGGCGTGCTGCTGATCAGCAGCAGACGAGTCTGAGGTCCAGTTGGCGGATCCTCTACTTGCCCCCAGATCCGACGCTGATGCCACCGCCGCTCGCCGGCGTATAGCACCCACGCCCAAGGGCGGACGTCCGCCGGCGGGGCGACCATTGTCGATGGCGGCAGGAGATCGGCGGCCTGGTAGTCGCCAAGAGCACACGTTCTTCAGGCAAGAATATCCCAGGAGCACCGCCGCCTGCACCAAAGCGATCAGCACGTGGAGCCACAGGACCACGAACTCGCCCAGCCAGCCGCCCGACTCCGAAGAGGCCTCGGTCGGTCCTGACGTTGGATCCTCACCCGGAGCAGCGGCGCCAGAAGGCCCAGAGGCAGCAGCAGACTCCGCCGCAGGCGGCGGCACAGGAGGTGTTGAGCTCTGACCTCCGCCGGCGGTCCCGCCGGCCTGCAAGGGACTCAGGCCCGTCGGACACTGCAGATGCGGACAGCTGGGACAGTGCAAGGTGGGGCACGATGGGCAGCCAGGGCACGCAGGACAAGGCTGCGTCCGCCACCAGTATGCTGTGAAGAGCTGAGTGACGGCGCCCACGAGCCAGAACCCGTTGCGGAGTCCAGGCATCTGGACGCCACAAAAGCTTGAGCATTGATGCAACAACGGTCGCAACGGCGCCCTCTCATCCTGACTCGCAGAGAACACCAGGCACGCCAGAGCAATACATGGATATGCAATTGTATGTGTATATGCATGCGTATATGCAGATGTATGCGCATACGAAAAAAGTGTGTGTATGAGTAGATGAACATGTATATGTACACGTTTGTGAAAGTAAATATGTGAGCATGTCCATGTTTATGTATGTGGCTATTCGAATGTAGGTGTGAAGGTAGATGTGTATGCATATGCATGCATATGCAAATATATGTGTGTTTACGTATGTGTATACGCTTACGCACACGACTATGAATACGACAATGTCCATGCATGTGTACATGTATGCAAAGTTGTACGCACGTGTCTATATACATGTGTATGTGTATATGTGTGTATATGCATGCGTATATGCATACGCACATGCATCAGTATGTGTATATGTATGTGTATATATATATAACTATAAGTATGTGTGTACACGTAACTGGTGTATGTGCACATGTGCACGATCATAACTGTATAAGTGCATGTGTAGATGTATGCACATATGGGTAAAAAAATATGTATGTGTGCATGCATGTGCCTATGTATATGCAAACGTGTATGCGTGGTCATGTATATGTATATGTGTATGTATATGTGCATGTATATGTGCATGTATATGTATATGTATATGTCAAAACTGCTGAACAGAAAACAACGATTTCGAATCTAAAGTTTGAAGCGATGTTAAGGGCCAGCTGTGCTCTAGTAAAATAGAGAACCCAACCGAACGGAGGCTGGGAAGAAAAAACCCAAACATCCTCCGATCTGATTTTTCGGTCCTCGGCCCTGGAGGTCCCGACCCCGTCCCCGGGTGTGGTTTTTCTCGCATGGGGCCGATGTTTGATCGCCCCAGGGCGCGATGACGGGCCCCTTGAGGCATAAATCGAGAAGAAGAAAGCCCGAATTGAAAAAGTCATAATTATCGCTGGAGGCCCTGGAGAGTGGCTGGACCAGCGGTCGTGGGGAGGAGATCGGCTGGCCTCTCGTGACCACGCGCGTGAAGCTGCGCCCGTCCTCGCTCACGACCAGCTCGTCCAGGAGCTCACCCTCGCCCTCCGTGAGCGGAGGTGGGAGGGAGGAGGACGAGGAGGAGGTGGAGGAGGAGGAGCTCACGTGGCCTGAGCGAAAGACGCGTGCGTCACCTCAAATGGGGCGCCGCGCGTGCAGCATGCCGAACGTGAGCGAATCACTCAGGACGGGCGCACTCGCAATGAGCGAAAAGGGGCCGAAGCTAGCGGAGGTGGGGAGGAGGAGGAGGAGGAGGAGGAGGAGGAGGCAGAGGAGCAAAGAAGAAAGGAAGAGGCCGATGGAGTGAAGGGGCTTGGCTTGGATTGGCCCTAAAGGCGGCCCAAAAAACCGCGCGAAGCCCTCGTGATCGGACACCCCATTCAGACCTGGAGTCCGGTCCAAAAGACGCGCGATGGATCGCATGACGACCCAACATTTGCACCGCGGGCGATCGTCGGCCGCCAGGCCGAACGCGCGGACCACGACATGCTTCCCCCCAGTCTCCCACGCCCCCCCGTTGACTGAGACAAGCACGGCGGTGGCGGGGCTGACTGGACCATGGCCTCATCCAGCAACGCTGGACAGGGCCCCACGGGGACGGCGGGGTCGCAGTTCCTCGATCCTCTGTTTCTGCAGCGGGGGAACTGACCCAACCTTCTGCACCTGAGCGGTGGCCCCTGCCCCTAGGCGCCCGCTGCAATAATCGCGGAGGCCCTGCATGAGTTTCCTGTCTGAGCTGACACGACAGCCCCGCAGCACGAGCAAAAAAGGACGAACCGAATACAACAGTGCACACTGTACACGCAGCCTACAGGAGTGAGCGCCTGCGCCACAAAAAACACAGGCGTGACAACTCGTACCACCCAGGCCCGACCTCTCTCCCCGACTCCGCCCCCCCATCCTCCTCGGGATCCACCGGGGTCTCCTTGTCGGGGCCAGCCGCATCGCCAGGAGGAGCGCCCCCCTGGGACGCAGAGCGGCCCGCCAGGTAAACCTCCATGAGGTCATCGCGATCCCGGCCATAACTGGGAATGCGCCCCCCGTGGCCCCCACGGCCACCTCTTGCGCACAGACCTGAACCCTTCTCCAGAACTCGCCAAAAAATTGCGTCGCCACCATACAGGGCGGCGCCACGCATCACAAGCCCATCCGCGGACTAGCCAACGGCAAACACCCTCTCCTTGGTCAAGTCAGCCTCCCTGCCAGGCCGAGCGCAGCGAGCACTCGCTTTGAACGCACGTGTCTCCGCTCCGAAAACTGGTCCAACATTGGCCCCGAAATGCGCGCGAGGGGTGCTGCCCCTGACCCTGCACTGACTACCTACCAGACCACCCAACCTAACCCGGAGACCCCATATTCCGGGTTGGGGGGGGCACGGGTTCCACATGTCTTTTTGCGATGTTCCCCGGCGCCCCCCCCCCCCCAGCGAGAATGGGGGGCAAATTGGGGCATTCGGGTCGGGTTCGGGCCTCGGCGGGCGGCGGCGCACCCTCCCCCATCCCAGACAGCGCCGACCGCACGGGCACAGTCCGAGTACGCCACGAAAAGGGGGAATGGCAGCTTGCGTCGGCAAATTGAACGCAAAGCCCCCCCCGTCCCGGGACGCCTGACGCTTAGCTTCTGCAGCGGGGCGAGGCCGCGCGCAGCCGCCGCCGTCTCGCCGGAGCGACCCGCCCGCGTAACAGACCAGCCCGCACGGGCCGAGCGCGGGCAGTCAGCCCACAGGGCCGACTCGCCCGTAAAAAGCCAACCCGTGACAAGCCCGCGCTCCGGCTTGCTCAACCAACGGGTGGACTGCCCGGGCCTCTCGGCTCCGCGGAGACCTCCCGCCCCCCCCCCCGCGGGGCCCGGGAAGACGCAGCGAGCGGAGCGCCCCACCTCCGACCCCCAGCCCTTGACCCGCTCGGCCCGAACAGCGCGGAACTCCGACCCCCTCTCGCCTCGGGCGCGTCGCGGCGGGGCACGCGCAGCACATGCGCCGTTGAGAAACCGCCGGGGCCCGCACATCTTCGACGGCACGCCGACCCTGACAACCCGCGCTTCTTCAACCGAACACGCGGGCACTGGCCTCCAGGAATACACGACAGAAGTCGCCCCCGATGCCCCTTGGCCCCACATCTCACCTTCGACGCACTGCGCGGCAACGGCCCTGACGCTCACCGAAAGACAGGGCTTGCACCACTGCGACCCGGGCCCGCGGGCAGTCAGGGCCTGTCGGCCCCAGGTTCGGATCGCATCCACCGCCAGCCCCACAGTGAACACAGGTGGGATATTAGTCAAGTCCAGATACTGGCCCAAGGCCACCGCTGGCGACGCTGATGACCTCGGGCTCTGGAACCCTAGAAGTTGCGCCCTCCAGTCCCGTCTGCAAAACTCGGGGCTCCAGAAAGGACTCCCAGACCGCCGCCGCCCATCGGAACACCACCTGCCCTATGCGCAGCACCGACGGGTCGATCCTGGCCCCCCCCGCAACCGCGAGACCCTGCCCTCGTGACCCCGGCCCCCCCGACGATCCACGCGTTGGCATCAGTTCCTAGATTCCGCGCGGAGTCGACCCGAGCGCTCTGGGGGGGCCCTGCCTGCTGGCGCCCCCGGCGCTGGAGGCCGGCAGCACGAGCTGCTCGAAACAGCCCAGCAGCTACTCGACACCGCCAGGGAGCTGAGCAGCCACAACTGAAGACGGAGCAACGATTTGGCAACGCGAGATCGTCGATGACACTTCGGATCGCGAGCCTGGGTCTCTCGAACTATGCGCGACGCAGCGGGCTCGGAAGCAGCGAATTCGCCGACGTCGCCGACGGCGATCACCCCGCAATAACAGCCCCATCGGCCCGCGAAACTCCCGGAACGCAACCACTGCGACGAACAGTTTTCTCACACACACACACACACACACACACACACACACACACACACACACACACACACACACACATAGCGCGCAAAGCTCCAGGCAAACATGGGCCCCCATGTCCAACAGCAGCGCGATATATCGACATGAACATCGTAAACTTTTTTCACGCGACATCACCGCTGCCGCCGACACCCCGGCGCAGACGCCGAAGCGCGCAAGCACGTTACAAACCCAGCTGGATAAGGAGACGCCGGGCGGCGGGCGGGGCGGGCTGGAGGCGGATAATGAGAAAATGCAAAAGGAAAAGAAAACCAAAAACAAACAAACGAAAACTGCGGCCGGCTGGCCCGACCGCTATC